GCTGAAGATGTCTTTCTGAATGGAAATGTTCAACAGGAGCAGCATTATTTGATTAATTATTATAATTAATTGGCCTTTAAAAATGAACTCTTTAGGCAGATGTGGTTTGCTGAATTCAATGAGCAGCTCAGAGTAAATTAAGGACTTTATTGTAAGCAAACACTTATGTCCAAACATTTGATGCGTGTGCACCAATAAATTTCATCATTACAACATTATAATGTAAAATATAATCCATTATCATGTCTTCCATGTGTGCATCCTCAGCAGCATGCATGCATATTAATTATTGATTACATTCCATGTTTGCATCTCTGCAGAAGCGCATGGTTTGATAATCATACGGAGCAGCAGAGTTTGAACAGCCAGAAGCTGAAACCTTATCTGCAGGGGCTACTCTGCTCTGTCACTGGCGCAGTTGGATTAATTATAACTCAGATGGAGGAGGGGAGCCGGTGCGTGTGTGTGAAAAAGAGACAAATGGGGAGAATGTCTTGGTGTGCAGCATGAGGGAAGGATTGATAGAAGAGGTGGTTATAAACTCAAAGAAGGGGTGGGGAGATGACAGGAAATTAAATGTATGGAGGAAAAAATGATATTAAAGATATGGAAGGAGACGTGATGTGGAATATCAAACAATTAAACACTGAGAAGAAAAACACAAGATGTGTGTGAGTTGATGAAATCTGAAGAACATTCAAGAATTATTCTTGAAAGCAACACGTTATAAAACAACGTGCAAAAGAAAAGGAAATGATGAATAATTAGGTATATCTTAAAGTCAAATACCCAACCCCCCCCCCAAAAAAAAAAAATAAATAAAATAAACTATTAAACTTTGACAAATCCAAAAACTACCACCTGTATCAAGTCAAACTTTTATATCCTATTGGATAAAAAAAAACACTTTTTACAACCAGGAGTTCATTATTGTAGCAAATTAACCTCCTCATTGAATAATGAAGGCTGTCAGACTGACTGTCAGCATCAAAGAAAATCATTTTGTACCTTTTTTAACCAAAAAAACATTGAACTGTATTAATAGAACCTGCAAATTTTGAATAGTCTTCTCAAAGAATACTTTTTTCTTTAATAGAAAGTGTCATGTATCATCAGCACTAGAAGAGGGAAGTGAAAAAAATATCTCCAAAACCTGGGTGGATGGCAGCTAAACGTGTGGGGCCTCCTTTGGAGCAGAGCAGGGAATGTGTGTTGGGGTGGGGGGTTAGGGGGTGGGGATTTGAGACGCAGAGGGCTTCGAGGGGCTGCAGCGTAAGAGCAAGGCCGAGCTACTTTTATGCACTTGTTGTGAGCCATTCTGGACTCGAGGCCCTGCGAAACACCTAAAATGTAAAGAGGCTGGCAGTTGTTGAGGAAGGAGGGAGGGAGGAGGCCACAGGGGGTCAGAGGGGTTGAGGTGGGGGGAGGAGAAAGAGGAAGGTGAAAGGGCGTGTGCAGCAGGTGGCAAGAGACGTTCAGTTTGTCAGGAGGAGTCGACTGAAGAGAGGCAGAGGACTGTAGATGGAAGGAGGACAGCAGAAGGAATTTTCATGGATCAATGCGCTGTACTTCTTTATTTACAGAATTATTTGTCAGATTTAATCCATAGTTTCAGGAGCTGTACTTCTTTATCTACAGAATTATTTGTCAGATTTAATCCACAGTTTCAGGAGTTGTACTTCTTTATTTACAGAATTATTTGTCAGATTTAATCCACAGTT